AAAAGAGGAAGCATTTCATCTGCAGAAGGTGAAAGCAGATGAAAGCAGAACCTATTTTTCATACGTAGTGAGTTAAGCCTAATTCCTCTATTTGGAAAATCTGCCTGAATAATTTAGTCGTCGCTAAGGTGCACTGATGATAGATATGGCTTTGAGGTGTGTAAATAATTCTTAACTACATGGTTGATGCATACTGAAGAGCATTTGTATCAGTTGTCTTAGGGATATACATTGTTACAAAGACACCTTAATTTTCTTATAGCTCTTTCCTTTTCCATGTCATTTATCTTGTATCTTTTAAGTAAAGGAACAGATAAACATAAAATGTAACTGTTATTGAAAGGATACACAAGACTCTGCCATGTCTTTATTACGACTGGTTTTTCCTTCCTCGCCAAGGTGGTCACTCTGACAATATAAGTGGGTTGGAAGTACTATTCTTTTGTAAATGACATTCCCACAGATTCTGTAGTATATATGATTTTTGAGAGGCAAACATTTTCAGTTTAAGACTTATTGCCATAGTCTTCTAGAAAAAACATGAGTGCAACCATTTACAGGAGTAAATTATCCCTATTTACCCAAAGAAATGGGTATCAAATAAATGATTTATTAAAAAAAAAAAAAACACAAAAAAACCCCTCAAATGATCACATTAACAGTTCTGCGCAGTGTGATTATATTTGGAAGGTCCTTGAGTGTATACTCAGCAAATCTGCCCTTGATTTAGTTACCTGGTAAAAAAGAAAGTTAATGGTAGTCATACTGGTAATGGAGTCTTAAGTTTTTTTAACAACAATTTTGGAGCAGTTGGAAAGAAATCAAACGCTGGTATGGAAAAAAGTATTTTTAAAAGTCAGTCTTCAATACAAAAGATGAGAACATGTTATTTTTGTTCTGCTTGACTGCAGTGTTACTGTAGGAGAAAGCATGCATAACCAAACCTGTCCATAAAAGTGTTTAATGTACTTGGAAAACATTAACTTCTTTTCATGGCTGTACTTGTATTGTTTCTCCTGTAAGCCTACTGCATGATTTCATTATGGGATAGAATTCCACATGTTTGTTTTATACTTTATAACTGTGAAAATAACTGTGTTTTGGGGTGGTTTTGTTTATTTAATTAAAATATACCTCCCAACTTCCTGGATTTTTTTAGGCAACAAGCTTATTTTAGGGAAAGGGGAAAAAGTATTAAAGTATTGACTTGTTGATAATGTTAAATTGTCTTACAGGTTTTTTAAAGTTTGGTTTCAATTCTGAATCAGCCTCCTTCCTGAGGCTACAAACAGGAACTGACATTTGCATGTAATGACTGGTTCTGGTTGCTCAGGGCTGGAGGGTGATTGCTCGGGCTTAAAAGCCCTAGTCTTAGAAGTGTAAGGCTTCTGGTTGTGCTGGGGATCTCAGTGGCCCCTCTGCTTTCCCCAAAAGCAGTTGCCATTGCAGGTTCCTTCATGTGCTTCTACATGTTGCACTGGGGTCCATAAGCCATTCCAATAATCTGGCCCTATTTAAAATACAGCTTTAAACACAGCTCACTTATGGATGAAAAGTCATGGAGCAGATGCCAACAACTCAGCTGCTCATCTGTCTCCTGTTCTCCTTCCCTTGCCCTTTAGGCTAGGGATTCATTAATTTTTTCCCTTGCTGGCACTTGCTGAGCATGTGGCACGCTGAGGTGGGACATGCAAAGTGGTGTGGGCAGGTTCCAGCGGTGTGACACCTGTAACAGAGCTCCCTGAGGAGCTCACTTTGCACAGTGGTGCTCAAGGCCATGAAGTGGGAAATAGAAGGTGTGGCTTTCTCTGCTGGGGACTCCAGCTGGAGGCAATTTCCTAGGGCTTGATTAGTCCCCTTTGAGCTCCCATTGACTGATGGCTGTGGTGTCCAAACACTCAGCCATTTGTCCCTGTCTTGGCACAGCTCCTGTGGTCAGCTGGCTTGGTCAAGGACAGCCTCAGCTGGGGCTCTTTGGATGCCGTAAACACAAACTATGAACTCTGTGTTCCTGGTGTGATTTTACATAAAATGGTAAAAATAAAGAAATTTTCGTTTGTGAACCCAATGCAAACTGGTCACACTAGCAGGTTTGAATTTCTCATGATGAATTTCCAACTTACTGGGCATATAACCCAGCATCCAGCAGATCCCCTGAAAGTGTTAAACCAAAGGTAACTGAAAAACTAGCACAAGACTATAAATTTCAAACTAAGCACCTCTCATTTTATAGTGAACTGCAGTATGTAAATATGTGTTACTCTTGGTTCTTGGATAGCTTAGGTTATCCAGGAGACAGGTGCTGGATTTCCTACAGAGGGACCATGATATGAAATAGACCTATAATTACTTGTGCTACTATGCACAGTCACTTAAATAAAAATCATCAATTTGGTTTATTCAGGTAAATTTTTTTTCAGGTATAAGAGTTTTCTTGTTTTGCTGGTATTTTTTTCTTGTTTTTTTTCTGGATAGCAGGTACATATGTATATAAATGTTATTGATGTTATTTTATTGGCTTCTGCGTTTGAGGTTCAAACAAGTGAGTAGCAAGATCTGGCTATATTGTAACACTTGAAAAAATAATGTTCTGCTGGAGAGGGATTAGGGTATCAAAATGTCTGAAGGGTTTCCAAGTGTAGCTCAATCTGCAGCATGTTCTGCGCTAGGGCTTCAGGGGCTGAGCGCTGTTTGTTCCTTTTCTCTGGGTAGATCAAGAGCAGAGTTATGGAGACTCCTGTGGTTGTTGCTCTCTGCTGAAGCCTGGCAAAGTATTAATACAATTAAGGCATAGAGAAAGAGAATAGTAGAAGTGTAAGATAGGTTGGGACTTCTAAGTAAAAGGGTCAAATAGCCTTTTTTCCTAGGAATGCAGAAATCTGTGTGCTGAGACTGTTAGGCATTGCAATGTGAACTGAGCCTTGAAGGCCAGTCTTTGAAGCTTTGGATCTGGCTACCAAAACATTCTCTCTCATCTAGTGGCTGGCCCATGGTGAAGGATAACCTTCTACTTACCTATCAGTGGACTAGAGGGTAGAAAGCTATTTCTGCAAATGAGAAGGGATTTTTTTGCCTGAGCTGAGGTGGAGAGTGTAGAAAAGACTTTGTAGTATAATTCATGTAGTCACTTGACTTTTTGGTGAAAGATGAACACAGTTCTGAATAAATAGTTTAAAACTAAGCTGCTAGAAAATTGGAAAATGTGAAATTGAAGGCTTCCTCTACAATCATAGCTTGCTGTCAACTTTTTGTATACTCTTGATAATTGGCTAACTGTATGTTTTATTTAACAGTAACCATTCCTGAATTAGCCCATTTTTTGGATATTAAAAAAAAATAAAAATACTATAATTAACTGCAGACTGTATATCAAGAAAAATTGCAGAACAATAGGAGTGTTTGCTGTTTTTTATGGAAATATTGTTTGTAATTCTCCTAAAGATTACCTCTTCTTTTTATCTCCTCCTTTAAAAACAAAACAAAAGAAAAGAGCCAGAGAAAACCAACAGCTAAAACCTCCAAATCACACCTTTTCTGAGGAAAAAAAAAAATAAATGCATGCTGGCTAAAAAATTAATCGTGTTTTGATTTTAGAGAATATACAATGGTGAACTATCAATTGGCTGACAAAACACCCCATGAGAGTATTGTTGGAAGTGTTGAATGCTAATGTGTGTCTGACTTCTGAGCTGTCAGTGAGAAGGCAATTGTTTTAGCTGCTTCTGAGTATAGTTTACACATAGTTGAATGAAGATGGATCACTGTCTGCTTTGCAGCCCTAAAAAGCCCACTTTATACAATTTTACATCTCATGACTCTTTGTGCTTTTCATGTATCCCTTTCAAAGAGATGTATTATAAGTGATTAATTTTTTTTTCTAAATTGTTCCATTTCTCTAGCTGCATAGAAGAAAAGCCAGCCTGTGTTTTAAGGCAGATACACAAAAAAGGGGAGATGGCAAACTAGTAATCATATAGGTGCCATCTAGCTTGGCCAGCAGTCTATGCAACACTTATATTATGCAAGTCCCTTTGTAGCTGTCCCCTTATAAGTGAGGTATGGTTTGGTAATTGGTATGGTAATTAACCTGGAAAACTATCCTCTGCCTCGCTTGCCAACTGGCTTTAAATGCTGTGATGTTAATTGGTAAACTGATCCAGTGAAGAGAGCCTTGAAATGTTTGCAGGCTTGTCTGAATTTAATTCACCTCTTATTTCAATGAATGCCTTTTTCTGTTTCATGGGATGTTCTTTTGTTTTAATTTGTAAATACTGGTTTTCAGAGTTTTGGTTTTGAGGAAGGAGTTTTTTTTCAAAAAAAAAAAGCCTAAGCAACAAAATAACTTTTATCTTGTGGCATGTTCCTCTTTGATATGAATTTCTGACTTCATGAATTTATGTATGATAGACTGTAAAATATTGACATGTTTTAAGGTTAGTTCTGCCTGCCTTACATATGGTGTTTGCGTATATATTCCTGAATTGGTGTTACTTGATAGAACCTGATTTGCATTAACTCAAGACTGTTTTGTCAGCTGAGAGTAAACAGAATTATTGTGAAATTTGTATTGTAAATGCAGAAATATGTAGGAAATGTAAATGGGGGTAAGGGGTTTCCTAGTTACAGATGATAAAAACTTTTCTTGACATTGTTTTCCGACTTTATAGTAGCTGTTTGGGGTTTTTTACTGGCTTAAACTAAGGCAGTGGGTCATGCCTAACCTTGCATGGCATTTACCATTGCAATGCATAATATGTATTTGTTAGAGGGATTACCTGTGATTCTCTTGATAATGTTCACATTTACAATGAGAGCCCCTCTATATTTATGCATTTACATTCTGGCTTACAACAGGCTAATTTTACACCTTATTCTTTTCCTATAAGAAGCATTTGTTAACTTGGGGTATAATGAGGTCTTGGTGATGTTGTGAGTTACTCTGAAAAACTAACATAGAGAATTATAAAAACTGTCATTAAACATAATTTTTTGTTTTATAGGTTATTCAGCAATAGTTATGAACTCCCGTTTACGAGCCTTAGGTGGGAGGATAAATAACATACGAGCATCAGAGCTACCAAAAGAGAAAACCCGATCAGAAATAACCTGTAACGTCCACTTTTTGGATGGCTCAGTACAAAGCTTCAAAGTCAACGTAAGTTTGGAAAACTACTTTCTTTTTAAATACATATAAATTTGTTTGAAAGCTGCAGATGAAATATGGGACCCTGAGGCATTGTATCTCCAAAAGATGTTGAAGATGTAGCTTTGCTGTAACAAATTGCAGAATTACTGCTTATGAAGTGGGTTTTAAAAGTGCTGTTTTAATGTACTTTCAAGCCAATGGACTTCAGTGTCATAAAATCACGGCATGCAGATTGTATCTGGAAAAAGGTCTTCTATATGATACAGTAACCACAAAGAAACAGATCTGGTGATCATTATCAACTATGAATAAGTAATTCATATTTAAAGGGAGCTCCCGAATTGGGATGTGCTCCTCCTTCAAAGGACTAGTAAAAAGGGTTCCTCCTGAAAGAAGGAGGCCTTATAAATTCCTGTGGTGATGTCAATACATATTTACAGAAATGCAAAGGTGATGTAAACAGTGAAGACGTTGTGGCTCAGTAGGACTGTTCTGTTCAATCTTTCGTACTTCAGTACAGTCTCTTTATTTGGGTGTGGGGAAGGAAACAGGATTAATGGAGATTTATACTCTGTATTTTTAGTGTATTTTATTCTCCAAGGTTTAGTACTTTAGTACTAAATACCTTTAAATACCTTTAGTACTGATTTGAAATATCCGTTCATTTTTAAATGAAAACAAGGGAAACAGCTTTGCTTCTCAATCAACTTTCAATAGAATTATCTGACCATGAAGAAAAACTGTGAATAAATTTAAGTAAATTATGTGTAAGATTTGTGTGTATTTCTTTGTATGATACTTATTTTATCCAATTTACCTTGTTTGAGAAGAAGCATTTTGCTGAGGAAGCTGTATTGTTTAGATATCTTAGATTACATGGTGCTTTCTAATAGGACATATAAAACTGCACACTAAAGTTGTATTTTCCCAAGAAAAACTTGGCTGTGACAGTGGTCAAGCACTGGGTTACCCAGAGAAGTAACAGCCATCCCATCCTTGAAAGTGTTCAAGGCCAGGCTGGATGGGGCTTTGAGGAACTTGGAGTAGTGGAAGGTGTCCCTGGCCATGGTAGGGGAGTTGGAACCAGATGATCTTTAAGGTTCCTTCCAACCAAAACCATTCTATGATTTTTCAAAATTCTGAGCCCAACTGATTTCTCTCCCTACCTTCAGCATATCCCTAGGGTACCACTGCTAGTTACTTCCTTCATCCAGGGTTTGTAAGGGCCTCCTTTACTGCAGCTGTGATGCTGAACCTCATAGGGGTGATGTAGGACTCATTATTGCTCTACTTAAGAGAAGCAGGGAATGTGGCTTTCCCACTGTGTTATGGACTAAGAAAAGGAAGAATTTTCACAGAAGATTCATGGTCTTTGAGTACTGAGCTGTCATGCTGGTAATGAGGGAGGCAGCACTTTTCTTAGGGGATGGCTCTTCCTTGGTTATCTAACCTTGATATCGGCCTGAGAATAGGCTTTGCTGCACTCTGGTAGTGTCATAAGGGCCATTTTTCAAAAGGGTTTGAAGCTAGCTGCAGAAAATTTGTATCCAAGTTCTGCTTACATTAGCAGAAAAATTTAGCTTTGTGAAGTTTTTGCCTGACTCTGTGTTTGTGTGTTATTTTAATTGCTGACATACTTCAGTTTTATGTCTGTGAACAAGAAAAACTAGGGTCTGTGGTCATTCTGGAAATCAGCTGGGCATGTACTGAAGGACAATAAGTTTTGCTCTGAACAGATTTTCCCTTCTTGTGAAGTCTTTCTCTGTTGCTTTAGAGAAACTGTTTCTCATATCAAGATGATTTTCTCCACATTTAATTCATTTCTGGATGACATGTTAATTAACAGTTCCATATTTTAAAGAATCACATGGCATAATTTCCCAGAAGACAAATTAGCAGGAATGTATTAAATGATGTACTAGTACATTATTAAAATGAAGGTGCTTTCTGAAGTGACTAGACATAGATACAAGACACATGGATAAAAATACTCACTATGTCTTGTGGATATTGTAAATAAGTTTTCTAGGTTTTTTGCTTTCTCTCTTTTTGAAGTTATCGGTGAAATATGTTGAACTTTTCTCCTCTGTTAGAGTTCGGAGAGCTGGACCTGAACAGGATCACCTCTTCTAAAGCAGAGAGTTCAGTGTTTTCTCTTTAAAAGAACTTCAGTATTACCAGTGGAAAATTAAGATTGGGAATTCTTCAGGGTTGTTTGTGGTCTAGTTGTACCTGGTTCTGATCTGTGAAGGCTCGAAGTTTGATAGATGTTACACTTTGAACTAACATTAGGCTAATATTCACATATACATAAGTATGGTTTATGTTCATTGACATATTTTTCATCAACAAAGAGTAGAAAGTAAAAGTGGAAAAGCAGAATACTTGTAGCTTGGCCTTTGTCCATTTAATAGAATAAGTGGAATTGGAGAGTTCTCCAAATTTAATGACAGTGGAATGAAAACAACTGAGCATTGCTTTATAATATAGCAGCTCTCTGAACACAGAATTCTTGCTTCAAAAGGATTTCTTTCTTCCAAAGTCATATGGAGATTATATAGAAAAATAACATTAAAGAAAAGAAATGTCATGGGTAAGAAACTCAAGATAAATTTAAACTATAAATTTAAACAAATGGATATTCCTATGTTTCTATTTCTGTTATCTTGTTGACAATGTGCATATTCTCAAGACTACAAAATATTAGGTGGGTTTAAATTTAATAGAAATAAATGATTAAATCGTCTAAACTTAAAACACTGAGAAGAACTTAAATATTTTGGAATTTTGAGCTAGTTCTAACATCTTTAAAATGATGGTAGTACATTTATGGTATTTCAAAATACTGGATCTTTCAGAGAGCAGGGAGACTAGAGATAAAACTTTCTTTTTGGTCTCTGGAAACAAGATCTTTATAGAGCCCAACAGCACTGATTTTCATCAATTTTTTTTTTACCAAATGGCATGGCACTTTTGTAGTTATACCTATAGGTTTCTTTCTTCTTTGTCATATGATACTTCAGATGTTTGTTTTCCCAGTGGTTCTGTCTGTAGGAGGGTGAATAAAAACTAAGTAGTATAAAACTGGACAAAGGAAAGTTAAGGTAGATTTTGCATATGAATATAACCAGAGAAACATTCTCTCTGTTGAGAAACGTGAAGGTAGCTGCATAATTTCCTCTCTGAAAAATTGTTCTTATTAATCAATTGCCCGAAAGAATATTGGTATCCTGTATCCTGACCAGCTGTAAATAAAGACTTATTTGCAATAGAGCAGTGCTGTTTTTTTCCTGGACTTGTTGCTTTGGCAGAGTAGCAAAGTGATTGGATATTTTGTTCAATGTTTTTATTTAAAAGTGTTATACTACAGTTTTAGTGAATCTGAAATTTGGATTCATGGTATCACAGGGAGTTCATCAGGATAAGCTGTGGTATGTGCTGGTTTTAGGTCATTATTATCAAGAAAGTTCACATGGGAGTACAGACAGACACATTCCGCTACATTGCTTACAGTCCAAAGAGTATGTTAACTATGCAAGGCTGAAATGGCCTTTCTTGTTCCACTGTTATGTGTTTCAGTAATTTGATGGAACATGTCCAAAATCCAGGCAAAGGATAGAAGGTGCATGGAAGCTGAGTGGTGGAAATGTTATTTCCAAACCACATTTGAGACAAAGACTTGACTGCATTTAGGGCTGAATGTTGCACCTGACTTTAATTACATCCAGGCTTTCTTGAAGCCTCACAGTAAATTCTGAGTGTTTCAGTTTTATGGTAAGGTTAACTCACCTCTGTCCCTAATGTCACTTCTGTCATGTTTTAAGACTATAATGCATAGGCTTTTCACCTGGAGAAAATATTAGCAGTCATTCTCATATATACAGAATATACATATATACATATATGTATACATATATACATGTTTGAGTATATTTGATAGGTATTTATTATATTATATATATTACATTGTGTAGTAGTGCAAATTCGTCTGTAACTTTTGATTTAAACTTACGAATTTTCTGGTTTTGTTCTACTTTGGCCCATTTGCCAGGAATGACCACTTGGGAAGCATGTCTCTCCAGTAAATTGACTTTTGAGAAGGGATAAAACTGACAGAGTCAGATCATTTCTGAATTTCATTGTCTATCTGAGTTAATGCTTTTGTCTTATTACTGTGATTGTTGCTTTTAAACTAACTGTCTATTGGTAATAGTTTTTTTCTTCTAGAAATGAAAGAATGAGGCTGTAATAATTCAAGAAGTTTTATGAATTAAAGCTCAGATTGTAAGGAATGTTATTCCTTTCCTTCCACCTCAGTTAAGTTTCTTCTTCCAGTATTTGAGAAGGAATATGATTGTTAAAATGAACACCTACAGTTACAATCGGTATATTTAAAATAATGGACAGAGATACAAGTCTTAGAGGTTCTTTTTGATTTTGGGTGTGAGTTTTATAATTTTAAACAACTCATAGAAAAACGCAATGATGCAGAATTTTTGTATGTGTGTCACCAAGTTTTCTTACTCAGTATTGTTTAGTATTGTTTGATAATACAAGATGGTTCAATGCTACTCTGTGTCCCTGAATGTTGAAAGAACTGCTGTATGAAGTTTCAGGCTGGCAACAAATATTTAATTTTATGTTGAGACAGGTCAGTGTACTCAACTGGAAAGCAGTAAGACAGTATGAAATTTGATGATGCCTTTGAGGACAGTGAGAAAGTGATCTGTCCTACAGCAGGCTTGTTAGTCTTAGCCCTTTGTGGGGCATGACTTCATAATAAATGCTGAAGGAAAGAATTAGTGAAGGGTAGATTTTTTCCAAAGTTAGAACTGAAATGACTAACCTCATATATGTGTTTGTTTTAAATCATTTTGTGAGGCAGAGGAAATGCAGTGGGTTAAAACTCTGTCCTTGGATAAATATTTTATATGACCTTTATACAGGAAAATACTGTGCTAAAGTGTATGGCATCTAGAAAAGTTATGGGATGGGTCAGGAGTTGGCTG